CACCCTTGCAAACTAAACTTAACCTAAAAATGACAAAATGTTCTATTTATACTAAGCTAAAAATATCGGACAAAAATGCCCCTGCGAAGGTTGTGCGACAGCATAATTCTGGTGCGGTCCGCACAAAAGGCTCATGCGGCCGCACAATTATCGTGTGGTCCACAGTCTTTAGGAATTTGAACTTGGGACTTCAGGCTTCTGCGGTCCGCACAAAAGTGGGTGCGACCGCACTTCTGATTATGCGGCCACACAAAAGTGGTGCGGTCCGCGCTCTTCTACTTTTGGTCTTGAACCAACTCTCTGATTCTTCACACTTGTGGACCGCATAATAATAATTGCGGCCGCACTTGACTTCCCGTGGCTGCACAATTTTGGTGCGGTCCGCAGTCCCTAAGCTGGCCAAAACACTATTATCTGAATCTCCCTTCTGCGGCCGCACTAGAAATGTGCGGTCCTCACTGCTAGCCTTTTTGCCCAGTTTTGGCTCTTGTTCACTTTTGACTCCTTTATGAGTTAATTTTGAATTCTTTGGTTCATTTCCCAATATTCCTGCAAGTAAGCACATTTCGTTAGTCTCCGGGAATACCTTTAAGCATTTTTGAGCTAAAACGCAAGTAAAAGAGAGCAAATAAGCGGTCCAATTCCCTACTTATCATGATTCCCCCTTAAATGTAGATAAATCCATTTCACAAGAAAACACTTGTTTGTGTTCCTTTTTCTTTCTTGTCTCGTGGCAATAATGTGAATGTGTTGTGGCATAACAGATTGGGACATGTTCCTTTTGTTAAAATGAAGAGCATTACCACTATCCTGTTACCTTCTCTAACAAACAACCTTTTATTTGTTCTATTTGCCCAATGGCCATACAGACCAGGTTGCCTTTTCCTCAAAGAACCAGCAGTACCAAACTGATATTTGATTTATTACACATTGACGTATGAGGAACCTATCATATACCTACAAATGACAATTACAAATATTTCCTTACTATGGTAGATGACCACAACAGATCCACTTGGACTCACCTTCTATCTAGTAAGAGTAATGCCTTGCAAGTTCTCAAAGCTTTTGTTTCTTTTGTTAAAAACCGATTTCATGTAACCATAAAGTCAATCAGATCAAACAATAGGTTGGAATTCACTATCGGAGAAGCAATCTCTTTCTTTCAAGATCAAGGCATTGTCCACCAAGGAACTTGTCCATACACACAACAACAGAATGGTGTGGTTGAAAGGAAGCATAGGTACCTCTTAGAAATAGCCAGGGCACTCTTGTTTTAGTCAAGTTACTTGTGAGGTATTGGGGAGAATGCATTCTGACAGCCACATATCTAATAAACAGATTACCTACTTCCTATCTCAAGAACAAATGCCCTTTTGAATATTTATACAAGAAGAAGCCAAATTACTCCCACCTTAAGAGTTTTGGTTGCATGTGTTTTCCCACCATACCAAAAGTACATAGGGACAAGTTTGAGCCTAGAACTGTGCCACATATTTTTGTTGGATATCCTTTTGACACAAAAGGATATAAAGTGCTAAATCTAGAATCCAAAAGAATCCCCATATCTAGAGATGTAACCTTTCATCAAGATGTTTTCCCTTTCGCTATTTTACCTACTACTGGTTCTTTTCCTTCAACCATTCATTCAATTCCCTTCATCATTGACCTACAGACTAATGCCCCTCAATCCACAACAGACAGTCCACTCAGCTCAGATAATATTGGCGCTGCACCTAATGAACTTATCCTTGACCATTCTGCAGGTTCTCCTTCAGGACCACAACCTTTGGATCTCCTATAGCCACAACACAAGATTTGCCTGACAACACTTTACAAAATCCTTCACCAGTCTAGAACCTAGGAGATCTGGGAGATAACACAAGCTTCCTACTCACCTGCAACATTATGCTTATACTACACCTCAATTAAAATCTACTCCTACTTCTGTAACTAATGATCAGCCAACTTCCTCCACCTCTCTTAATGCCTTGTTTTCCTTAAATAGTCATATCTCACTTGCATATTTAATGCATGATAGTCAATTACTTGTGGTGAATGTTTGCAACCATCTTCATATGAGGAAACTGCACTTATTCCAGTCTGGCAAGCAACAATGACTCAGGAGTATGAGGCCTTACATGCTCATCATACATGGGATGTTGTACCCTTGCCAAGTGGCAAGCAATCCATTGGCTACAGATGGGTCAATAAGATAAAACATAAAGCTGATGGGACAGTGGGAAGATTCAAATCTAGGTTGGTAGTGAAGGGGTACACTCAACAAGCAGGTATAGACTACACTGAGACCTTCAGCCCTGTTGTGAAGATGACAATAGTGAGAGCTTTTATAGCAACAACAGTATAGAAACAATGGCAAAATTTTCAGTTGGATGTAAATAATGCTTTCCTCCATGGGGATCTCTATGAGGAGGTGTATATGCAGATGCCACCAGTGCTAGAAACTGATACTCCAGGCTTAGTCTCTAAGTTGAACAAGTCACTGTATGACCTTAAACGGGCAAGCAGGCAATGGTATTCTAAACTGACTGAAGCTTTATGTTTAAAGGGATATGTGTACTCTCTGAATGGATATTCCCTATTCTACAAGAAGGCAGAACACTCCACAATTTATATTGCTGTATATGTAGCTGATGTCATTGTCACTAAAACAGATCTTTTAGAGATTGTTCAGCTCAAACATTTCTTGCATGACCAGTTTAAGATCAAGGATATGTGAAGACTACATTATTTCCTTGGCCTGGAAGTTTGGTATATAACTGATGGTGTGATCATTTCACAAAGAAAGTTTGCCCCGGACATGCTTAAGGAATATGACTGCCTCTCCTACATTAGTGTTTCTACTCCTCTTGATCCCAATGAGAAGTTGAGGGCCAAAGAAGGAAAACCATTGTCAGATCCTCCATACTACAGAAAACTTGTAGGAAAGTTAAACTTCCTTATAACACCAGATTAGATATAGACTTCAGTGTACAATATCTCAATAAATTCATGTAGGATCCCAGAGAACTACATTTGAAAACAGCCTTTCACTTGATTAGGTATTTGAAGAGTGATCCCACTCTAGGAATTTTTCAGTCAATGACTTTGACTGTAGTCTGAAGGGTTACTGTGACTCAGATTGGGAAGCATGCCCAGATTCTAGGAGACCGGTTACTGCATACATAGTCCTACTGGGGAACAACCCAATTTGTTGGAAGTCCAAGAAACAAGAAACAATTTTCTTGTCATGTGCAGAAGCAGAATACAGGTCCTTGAGGAAAGTTGTAGGGGAACTGACTTGGTTGTGTAGACTCTTTGATGAGCTTACTATCTCTTATCCTAAGCCAGTCTCAGTTTTTTGTGACAGTCAATCTGCTATGCATATAGAAAATCCTATTTTTCATGAAAGAACTAAACATATCGAAGTCGATTGCCATTTTGTGGGAGAAAAACTTCACAAGGACCTCATTTCTTTTCATCACATTGCCACTGGTGCTCAATTAGCAGATGTCCTTACCAAAGCCCTCACTGGTGTCAAACATTCTACCTTTTTAAGCAAGTTGGGTGTAAAACCTTAACCTCCAACTTGAGGGGGGGGGGGGAGGGTATTGAGATGTATTTATGTTTTATGCTTCTATGTCTAGCTTTTACTATCTTAACCTTTATCTTTACATGTTGTACAGTTAGTTACAACTAGTTAGTGGCTTAGCTATCAATTAGCTGTCAGTTGGAGTTAGTTTCTTTTATCTTGTTCTCGTGTATATATGCACTGTTACATAGAAATACCAATACACAGTTCATTCTCTCATTTCTGGGAATCAGACTTCTCCTTCTCTCTTTCACGCGAAGCTTCTAGAGCTCTTCAATGGAGCTCAATCGAGGAACAAATTATTCATCCATGGTGTAAATTGACAGAGGGCCTATCAAATCATATCTTGCCCGCTTCAATTGTTTCTATTTATCTATCCTTTGTTATCATCCTCACCATCCTCAAATAATTTAAACTTTTGATGGATGATGCTAAACTTTAAAATTTAATCTCAGCTGCTGAACAAATACTTTTCTAAGTCCATAGTTCTTAACCAGTTCTTTATCAACATCTGCTGAGTAGTATCTATCAAAGTTAAGGCCATCGGAAGTCTGAACAAGCTCTTAGAAGTTTATTAGGTTCTTCAAAGGATTTATCTTTCAAATATTTACTGTCTTTTCGTTTATGTTTGCTGCAGTAGATTGTATTCCACATTCTTCTCTATCCCCTTTTGATTGTTATGATGGAACAAGATCTTTTACTTGATTGGATGTTATCTCCTTTACATGATTAGTTTCAGATATTATTTATCAAATTGACTGTCAATGTAAGTGAAGATTTACACAATTTCTCCAGACTAAGTCTAATTCAAGGAAAAGGTTACAACAGAGGCACCAGTCTACACCACCAGATTCACCCTTTTGTGCGAGTAAAATAGTTATTAAAGATTAATCATGTCACCAAACAACATTTATAATTACCATGGCAGATTTTCTTGGTTGAATACTTGCTAGTACTTATTTATCAGTAATTATACTTTTTTCGGAGAGAGCTTTCGCCTAATCTTCAGAATTAGTCCACTTATTTTGAGAAATATTTTTTGCGAAAAACAAATTTTAGATACGTATTTGGCATAGTAGAGCTTGGAGTTAAATTATACATTATTTTTATTTCTAATGTTACTTGATTAACAATAAATTTTACGCTCATATAGGTTGTTGCATAATTTTTATATAATCACCATCTCACTTAGTATAAAACTAAAAAAGAATCAAATACTTATGATGTTATAAATGTTGCTGCTGTAGATATAGCACCAAAGACTCATTGGTTATATGGTGACATTTTTAAAATTTAACAATCAACTGGGATTTCTGAAATTGAATTTTTGCAACATGCTCACAACTTTAGACCTCGAAAATTAAATTATTCATCAGGCTATAGATAATGAAATCATTGGATATCAAAGTAAAAAAGGTACCATAAAGCCAGAATCATATCCATTTATTATAAAAATATATACATTAGGATAAAAGGCAGAGTAGTGCAAAAGGTAAACCACTGCATTCTTTCACGACAATCTATGACTTAGTTATCAGATAGCTTAGTGGCATCTTTAGAAGGGAGAAAGGCAATCTGATCATCCTGAAGGAAATGACAAACAGGGGTAGTTCCAGGCTTAACCTTAAGCAGTACAAAAGGCAATCCTTTGGGATTCCAAAAAGATGTATCTTTGTGGCACACCAATACTGCTTTTACTTTTGTTCCATCAGCACCAACCATAGATACCATAAATATCTTGGTACGTCCTCCAACATGGCAATTATAAACTGCATATGTATAACTAAGTTTGTGGCATATCAAGTTATCTCCATCAGCAATCTTTTGAACTTTTTTAATGGTGTATTTTTGCAACATTTGAGTTTCCCCTTCCACCTCTGTTGTAACTGCATGAACATTATTAGTTCCTAGCATCGTTAAGCTGATATCCACCATAGACTCCAAAGAAGTAGCACATATTTTCTTCTCTCCTTTCATCGCTGGCTCTTCACAATGTCTGATAGTTTCCTCAATAGTTTGAGCATCCTTTGAGATACTATCTATTGAAAAATAATTTAGAATTTCTAAAACTTTTTCTAACGAGAAAGGAATCGATTCCACAAATTGGCGAGACAAAAAAGGTGCTTTATTTTTATTTTTTAGAGATGGAAAGTTGATTATTTTTCCTTTCTCCAAGTTCTTTTCAAAGAAGTAAGGTTTGTAAAGGTAATTATCTTTAAGGTCACTCTTGGCACTGCTTCCTTCATTTACCTGTTGGAGATTATTCACGGTAGTAGCATGATGCATGTAATGGCTTTCCCTTTTGAGATGACGAACCTCATCCTCTGCAGCAGCACGACGCAAAGTATGAACTCCAAAACGTTGGTGTAAACCATGATATACTTTCTCCTTAGTGGCAGTACTTTCTCGTTTCAACCCACGAACCTCATCTTCTATGGCAGCGCGATCATAACCATATGATTTTTGCAAGCTATAGTATACTTTCTCCTTAGTGACCGTGTTATCGTGTTTCAGCTCATGAACTTCATCTTCTGTAGCAGCACGATCATAACCATATGGTTTGTGCAAACCATAGTATACTTTCTCCTTAGTGGCAGTGTTATCTTGTTTTAGCTCACGAACCTCATCCTCCAAAGCAGCATGATCATAACCATACGGTTTATGCAAACCATAGTATAATTTCTCCTTAGTGGCAGTGTTATCTTGTTTCAGCTCATGAACCTCATTCTGTGAAGCATCACGATCATAACTATATAGTTTATGCAAATTATAGTATACTTTCTCCTTAGTGGCCGTGTTATCTTGTTTCAGCTCATGAACCTCATCTTCTGTAGCAACACGATCATAACCATATGGTTTGTGCAAACCATAGTATACTTTGTCCTTAGTGGCAGTGTTAGCTTGTTTCAGCTCATGAACTTCATCATCTGTAGCAGCACGATCATAACCATATGGTTTGTGCAAACCATAGTATACTTTCTTCTTAGTGGCAGTGTTGTCTTGTTTCAGCTCACGAACCTCATCCTCCTTAGCAGCACGATCATAACCATACGGTTTATGCAAACCATTGTATATTTTCTCCTTAGTGGCAGTGTTATCTTGTTTCAGCTCATGAACCTCATCTTCTGAAGCAGCACGATCATAACCATATGGTTTGCGCAAACCATAGTATACTTTATCCTTAGTGTCCGTGTTATCTTGTTTCAGTTCATGAACCTCATCTTCTGTAGCAGCACGATTATAACCATATGGTTTGTGCAAACCATAGTATACTTTCTCCTTAGTGGCAGTGTTGTCTTGTTTCAGCTCATGAACCTCATCCTCTGTAGCAGCACGATCATAACCATACGGTTTGTGCAAACCATAGTATACTTTCTCCTTAGTGGCCGTGTTATCTTGCTTCATCTCATGTACCTCATCTTCTGTAGCAGTACGATCATAACCATATGGTTTGTGCAAACCATAGTATACTTTCTTCTTAGTGGCAGTGTTGTCTTGTTTCAGCTCACGAACCTCATCCTCCTTAGCAGCACGATCATAACCATACGGTTCAATACTCGCTCTCCGACCATGAATGCCACATCATGAACCTTACGATCGGCATAACTCTTTTGCCTGGACTGAGCTGAACGAAGTCTATCCTGAATGATCTTAACCTTATCCAAGGCATCCTGCACTAGATCTGTACCCAACAACCGAGCCTCTCTCGGCTCAAACCACTCAACCGGCAATCGACACCCGCCTACCATNGTGCAAACCATAGTATACTTTCTCCTTAGTGGCCGTGTTATCTTGTTTTAGCCCATGAACCTCATCTTCTGTAGCAGTACGATCATAACCATATGGTTCGTGCAAACCGTAGTATACTTTCTCCTTATTGGCAGTATTATCTTGTTTCAGCTCACGAACCTCATCTTCCGTCGCAGCGCGATCATAACCATATGGTTTGTGCAAACCGTAGTATACTTTTTCCTTATTGGCAGTATTATCTTGTTTCAGCTGACTAATCTCATTATCTGTAGAAATACAATGACAATCATTTTTCTCAAATGGTTGAATAATGACCAAATTAAGTGGCGCTTCAATGATGGTGCTCAAGAAAAAGAGTTTGGTCGCTAAAAAAGGCAGTTATCTAGCCAAAGCTTATTTGGATGACAATCATTTTTCTTCGATCCTACGCATGTAATGATATTCCATAGTGAAATGCAGTAAATTCTTTTTTTCTCTCAAGATGATCATGAGGTCTAGAAACAATATTAACATGCCACTCGGAAATTAAACCATGCACCGGTCACATGTGTAGTAGTTCAATTGAGCAATATAGGTCATTTGCAGGGATCACACAGGAAGATTAATTATGGCATTTGCTCAATCAATTGGAAAAGTTAGCAGCAACATGGCTGAAGCTAAAGCTACTCTTGCTAGAATATCCAAAATAATTTAGAGAAGATCATATTGGAAAGTGACTCTCTGCTAGTCATAGATTTGATTAGAGGAAGGTCCCTTGGCAGATGATAGAAATTATTAAACAGATTTCAAGATCTTATTTGCCAGGTAAATCGCTGTTATAGGAAGGCTAATCAAGTCGCAGATGCACTAGCCAAGTGGAGTATTGAAAATGATGAACTGCAGATATAATCCTCAAGCGATTTACCTGGCGCTACTAGATCTAGGGCCTTACAGATTGGACAATATTCAGATGGAGTCTTTTAGGCATAAGCAGAGGAAGAATGTATTTTTGTAATATAATAAGAGTAGATGGAGCTTTTCTATTATTTTTTGTAGATGGATCAATCTGTAGATTTAGCTTGTATATCCTGCATGTATCACTCCTTTTGTTTACTAGAAATTGTGAACTGGTGCTAATACAGTCCAGGTCTTCTAGTGAAGTTTGGACGTTGACTCTGCCTCTTTTCCTTGTATTTTTTCTGGTTTAATGATAGGGCCATGCCACCATACGGCGTAATTAATTAAAAAAATTGAACAATATAGGTAAGTTAACTCGGATGTTAATAAATTTGAAATTCTAATTAATCTACAACTCACATATGTACAGTTGGATAGTAGAGATAGATATAAAGTGCAACAAAGTATAATCGAGGGGTAAAATATTATTTTTTCTTAAAGCATAAAAATATCAAAGAAGTTAAATAAATGTACCAGATAAACTTTTAAGTTTGTTTAAGAAAGTTTTGACATAGTTAAAGACTTAAAGGTAGCTTAACCACACCTAATGTTATAAATATAAAGAGCCGTTTGGACATAAGACTTTTTTTAATTTTTTAAAAAAAATTCACTTTTTTTTTAAATCAGTTTTTGGCCATAAAATTTTCAATTTTCACTTGAAGATGAATTTTGGAATTTTTCGAAAATTTGAAAAACTCCAAAAAACTGGTTTTCAAAATTTTCACTCAGATTACTCACAAAACTTCAAAAACAACCCAAAATTATATTCATGTCCAAAACACAACTCTAATTTTTAAATACCATCTTTTTTTCACTTTTTTTTTTTTTGGAATTTTACAATTCTTTATGTCCAAACGCCCACTAAATGTCACAATAAGCATAAAGACATATGGGAAGACAAGTCAAACGCACGACACAAACAAGTGAAGTGATAGAAATGTGCTGCGGTCTCTCAACATGCAAAACAATATCATATCCCTTGAGTTGAAGACAAACCTGCTTGGGGAAGGCAATCCTTGATTACTTTGGGGATTTGAGTGTTGGGCAATTTTACTTTCCAATAAACTTCTGGAGATATAGCTGCATGACTTGTTACAAAAGCAAGCTACATATATACAATAACAAAACAATTTATTTGTTAGTTTTAGAATCAGACGCGAAGCTACGATTTTAACTTTATGAGTTCTAAATTTTAGGATATTGATATTAATTAGAATCTGAATTTTAAATTTTATATTTGTATAGTTTTAATGAATGTTTTAACACAAAAAATCAATAGCGATTTTGGTAGTACGAATAATATTTTCAGAATGAAATGATTACTAGAAATTACCGAAAATTAAATTTTGAGAGATAAGACAGAAACTATATAGAATTGCTACTCACCCACAAAATGGTGAGCGAGTATAGCAGCTGCAACTTCATTAGTAAAAATTTGCTATGCTAGATTGTAGAATAGCTAAAGGACTGAAAGCAAAAGATGGATTCAATCAGAACAGAAACTATCTATTTATAAGGATGGATCTAATACTATCACTTAATCAAAACAGAAATATTAGCTAGTGCTCAATTTTGGACTAATTGGAGCTCAAGTTGAGATTGTTTAGTGCTCAATCTGAGATTAATTAGTGCTCAATTATTGTTGCACTGACATCAACGGTCATGAATCATCACTACGTGCATGGATGACTTATAACTTATTTTATTGTGCAGTAGGTGTTGGGCGAGAAGTTTTATTGTGTGTCTCACACAACTTACATTAGTTGTGTGAGACTCCTTTTTGTCCCGCAAATTTGTGGACCCCAATCTTACACTTCTGGGTCCACAAAACTGTGAGACAAAAAAAGGAGTCTCACACAACTAGTGTCAGTTGTATGAGACACAAAATAAAATTTTTCGTGTTGGGCAACTATTTAGATGAATTCTTCTAGTATAAAACTAGTCTACAGTAAAATGATGTGATGCCTCTAACATTCACATTTATCTTTTTTCTTTTTTTGGTTTTGTTTTTATCACTTTTTAATCCTAATTTTTATGTTAAAGACTTATTTTAAGAAGCCCAAACGTCACACTTTTTTGTTTTCCAGGGATTTGGTAACCAGTCACACCATTTTGTATTTTAAGAAGACCAATAGTCACACATTTTTGTATTCTTGCGTGAGGGGTTCGGGAATTTCTGAATTTATGCTTATTTACGAACTAATATCTATGTACGTGCTTTGCACGTATGTCTTCCGCTAATGGTTAAAAGATTTGAAAAAAGCATCTTCATATAACTCCATATGAAAGACTTTTTTCGCGTCATTATGTTAAGACATTGTCACTTTACCTATCCAATTATTAAGTTATTAGCTTACGTCAATTTATTTTGTGATTTTTTTTACTTTTTGGGAAAAATAGGTGTATGTGTGTAAATATTGTATTGTACAATTGTACATTGTGTATCTCTTGTATTTATACGTGTTTAGAGTAAATAAACATTTAAGTCTTTAACTTAGTCTAAAAAGACTTTAGTCTCAGAATCCTGTTATCGTAATATTAAGAATGCTAAAATAGAATGTATGATCTTCTTCTAACCCGTTTGACTATATTATATAATCGACACACTTATTCCTAACTCCTTGAGGAACTTGTTCTCTTTCTTCCCAGAATACATCCCGAAATACATCCCTTCAATGCGTGAAGTGCTTCCGTGTAGTTATAAAGCGATTACCACAAAATCAGAAAAGAAAAGGGATAAGTGTGTATAGATATATATTCTAAACTTATCAAATATTATAAAGGAGAAGAAAAGGAAAGACAGAAGTAAGAATCCAATATAAAATTTAACTTTTTATATCAAGTGAGAAAACATCCATAAGCGCAAGAAAAATAGAAGCAAAAATAAAAAAAAAATCCAACAAAAGTTTAGCTCGGCAATATAATACATTAATGTAAAAGATGACATACTACGAACTGCGACGTAGTAAAACTTTCATACACAGTTGAGCAAGAGGACGAAAGCTTCCAAGTTCTAACCTTAACAATTATCATGTGTTCCAAGCAGGCCAAATTTAAAAATCTTTATATTCGTTTAACAAACTCATAAGTGAACTAAGAGTAATAATTAAAAAAGAATTCCTGCCGTATATTTAAACAGTTTAATTTTGGAGGAACCATCTATGCGTTTAACTCACAAAAATATAACAATCTAAACCACAATATTTACCATAATTCTCATCTCTGAGTACCCCAAATTCACACTCTCAAATACCTGTCACATTAAGAAGTTAGGATGTGTTAGGCAAATATATTTTATATTCTTATGATTTGAAATTTCACAAATACAGTTATAATATAGAAAATACCAACAACAGTTATCAACGAACATGACACATCGTGCATCAAGGAAAATAAAGAGGAAACTAATCAATGTATAGACATTGCTTTATTATCTAAAGATTTAAAACACGATTTTTTTATTAAAAAAAGAGTTAAAAGGCAAAATCCAAGATAGAGAAATAGCTTTAGTAACCTGAAGAATAAAACACCATCTTGCAGGAGATAAAAAATATGTGAAGATGGAAATCATGAAGATGAAAAAGAAACTTCGTCTCTGTATTTGAGTCTTGAACAATTTGTGGGGGATTGCGTTTTAAAGCTAAAAAAGAAATTTGTTAGAAGGAATAGAGAAAGTCATCAACGATGCAATGCATTCCTATTAGAATTGAGGCTCATTAGCAAAACGTATTGTTGTCAAACATGGATTCTTCAACTACACTTCGATCTAGAGTTTTCAATAGATTAATTACAATTATATCCACCTTTAACTTGCTTCTTTAAACAAATAATTAAGGGCATAAAAGTCGATCAATGTGTCAAGAATATTTTAGTCGTTCAACATTTAGCGTGAAATATTCGTGCTTTTATAATAATATAGATATAGATATATTCTATGCAATAGGGGTTGATATTTCTCCCCTTTTAAAAATATTCCTACCTTTTCCCATTTATGTACCCTTTAACAAACCGGTACGTACTATGACGCGACATTAATTAATGTTTGCATTGCTCATTCTCTCCTTTATGATTGGTTCCCAACTACAATTATAGTTTGTTTGGTCAAATACATAAGTAGTCACCTGACTATACCTCAAATCCCTATTACATACTTTCTGAGAATATCATATTACACACGTAATCTTTTAAAAGTATAATTAAGACAGTATTTTTTACTTGACCAGTTTTTCGGGATGTGTGTGATATCACGCGCCAATAAATTCATGACATGTGGTAATAATTTAAAAAAAAATAAAATACTTAAATTTACAATTATACCCCTTACATCTCACTTCGTCTCTTTCAATTTTGCAACGCATGTAAAAACTTCTCAATAATGGCAGCCACCACAACAATGGCAACCACCATAAAACTCCTCAATCTCTGCCCCAAATCCAAACCTTCGGTGGGGGCCACAAGAGCAGTACCAAATCGAGCACTTCCCCTATCTCTTCTTCATCAAATCCTTAGAACCATCCCACCACCAACAACAAATACAATCTCCACCCACTAATCCCTTCTTTTTTTCCTCTATGGAACAACCAAAACTCTTCTTCTAAAACCTACTACGATGAAATTAAGAAAAACTTCGACGAATTCCATCGTCGTGGTGCCGCTTCTTCTTCATCACCCCTTTCATTTTAAGAACTCTACGAATCCAATCTCAATAATAATAATATAATTCTCAGATCCATTGGAATGTTTGACCTCAACGCCATTCACACAAATAGCTGCAACTTTAGGTCCAAAATGTAGCTGGGTTTCGTTTGTTTTGTTTAAGGAAGAACACCCGCGAGGGAGGGGGAAGGGGGAAAAGGGGGAGGGGGGAGAAGGGTTTCAAAGTTAAGGAACCAAATGATAATGTTAAAAAAGAAGAGAATTTTTTGCCACGTGTCATCTAAATAAGGATTGGGATAAAAAGAATTAACAGCTGAACGCGCTTATATTTTTTGTTAAGCACGCGCATGCCACGTAGCAAAAATAGTGTGTCTTAGTTACACTCTTGAAAGGTTGCGTGTGTAATATGATATTCGTCCTCAGAAAGTGCATAACAAGGATTTGGGGTATAGGTCAGGTGGCTACTTATGTATTTTGCCAATTCTAAAATTAGCTTATTTTGAGCATTGTTTTTCGTAAAAATATTTTCAAAAAAAACTTTTCGTAAATATAAAGTTTGGCGAAACACCTTAATTTAAAATATACTTTTGAGCAGTAATTAGTGTTTGATCAAACTTTTTAAAAGTACTTTTAAGTGTATTTTTTTCAAAATTGCTTTTTGAAAAAGTATTTTTGGGGAGAAGCTATTTTTTTTTCCTGCTTCTCAAAAACTGCTCCTGCTTCCCCTCAGAAACAGTCTTTTTTCTCTTATAAGCTTGGCCAAACACCTTAACTTGGAAAAAATATAGTTTTGGCAACAACAAAAAGAGCACTTTTGGTCCAAAAAAAAACTTGTCCGAATAAGGGTGTGTTTGGTATAACCGAAAATGTTTTCCGTGAAAAATATTTTCCAAGAAAATATTTTTTGGAAACAGTAGTAATCTTATTCATTTTCGGTGTTTGGTACGCAAATTTAGAAAAATGACTTCTCAAGAGTATTCATAAATAATTTAGATATAATAAACATGAAGCCATAAACTTTCAAACCGACAACCTTCCGAACCCACAAATTTCATAACTTTCGAACCGCTAAACTTTCAAAACTTGCGGAATTTCGAACCCGTAACGTTTACTAATTTCTAAACCTGTAAACTTCAAACACATAAACCTCCGAACTCATAATTTTGAAACTTGTAAAATTTTTAACCTTTAAACCGATAAATAAAAAAATTAAAACTGAAAAATATATTTAAAAAAAATTTCGGGGGGGGGGGGGGGAGGGTGGGTGGTGCAGAAAAACGAAAAAACAGAAAAAATTATTTTTTTTGCAATGGGGGATGGGGTGCGGTGGGGTAGAGGGGTAGTAGGATGGGTGGTAACGGAAAAACTGAAATTGAAAAAAAAAGCCTCTTTTGGAGAGAGGGTGGTGTGGATTGGTGAGGGTGGGGAAGGTTGAGATGAAGTTTTGGAAAATATTTTCCCTTCTCTTGATAAGGAAAATAATTTCCTCCATTTGGAGGAAAATGAGTTCATAAGGAAAATGTTTTCCAAAACATTTAAGCCAACCAAACATGGAAAAATTGAAAAATATTTTCCGAAAAATATTTTCCTTCGTACCAAACACACCCTAAGTTATTATTGTTTATGCAGAATTTGAAATTTATAAATTCTCAACTTGTGTCAAATCTATAGCACATTTCAATTATTTAATTCGCAGTTATGACAACCCCTATCACAAGAATATATCACGCCTTTCCCCACGAGTCCGGAACCTAAATATTATTTTTTTTGGACTCAAAATACATTACTAAGTGTAAAAAAAAAGTTACCTTTCTATGTATAGCGTCTAAATACAAGA